GCTTGTTTGCCTTTTCTCTTCCTTTTCTTGTTTGTCTTTCCTTCCTATTTATTTATTAGGGTTTAGGGTTTAGGGTTTAGGGTTTAGGGTCTATCCTTTTAATTTAATTTATTCATTCCTCTTTTCTTATTTATTTTTTCTTCTTTTTATTCCCTTTATACTTTTATCTCTTTCTTATCTTTAATTATTATTTCCTTTCTTTCTCCCTCTAATTGCAAATAAACTACGACCTCTATTTAGGGTTTAGGGTTTAGGGTTTAGGGTTTAGGGTTTAGGGTTTAGGGAGGGCCTCAGTGTTTATAAATCCCTTCATGCATTGAGGTGTATATACACCGCATAAATCTCTCCCTCCTATTATTAATTTATTTACTTCTTTTTTATGCATAAAGAAATAATAAATAATTAAATAAAAAAGCCCCAATAAAAAAATAATAAATTAATTAATAAAAAGATATTCCCTTCTGCATGCAAATGTTTTTTTTCTGTTCTTCTTTTGTATAAAAAAAAGAAAAAAAAAAAAAAAATACCCCTTTTATATATACTGACTGCCTGTTATTCGTTAGCTAGCTGTAGCTAGCTATTGCTAGCTATAGCTAGCTATGGCTAGCTATATACAAGGATAGCTGCCTCCTAGCACTGCCTAGTCACAGCTAGCTACAGCTAGCCACAGCTAGCCACAGCTAGCTACAGCTAGCTATGACTGCATGCACTATTAATATATACAAAGTTAGCTAATTATATATATGTATAAATATACCTATATGTACATATATATATATGTGTATATATATGCAGATAAAAGCTGCCTATACACCTCAAGTTACGGTGTATAGGCAGCAAGGGATTTTTTTCCTTATTTTATTTTATAAATTTGTTTAATTGTATAATTAAATAAATAAATAAATAATAATTTAATTATTTATTTTTCTTCTTGTTATTAATGTATTCTTATATATATTAATATATTTAATTAATAAATTAAATATAATTATATATATATCTATGTCTAATAAAAAAGATAAAAAGTTATTTTATAACAAAAAAAAAAGAAATGCATTAAATAAATCATTGTTTTTTCTTCGTGTTTAGGGTTTAGGGTTTAGGGTTTAGGGTTTAGGGTTTAGGGTTTAGGGTTTAGAGTTTAGGTTTTACACCTAAAAAAGAGGCAATAAAACCCTTGTCAGTAACATTATATTTGTATAAAATAAAAATAATTATTTTTTATTTTTTATAAATAAAAAAATAAAAAGAAAAAAAAAGCAAAAATATAATACTTTTCTTATTAAGTTTTTTTGTAGGAAATAAGCAGCAGCAGCAGCAGCAGCAGCAGGAAAAATAATAATAATTGCTGCTGCTGCTGCTGCTGTTGCTGCATTAAATATTATTATTTAATTGAAATAAATAAATAAATAAAAATAAATAAAAAATAAAAAATAAAAAAATAAAATTTATTTTTTTATTTCTTATTTTTACGAGGTGTACGTACACCTCAATAAATGGACCACTGGGCATTTATTTCTCTATTAAAGAAAAAAAGAAAAAAAGAAGAAAAAAAGAGAAATAATTACTTAATTAGTTAATTAATTAATTAATTAATTAATTAATTAATTAAATATAAATATAAATAATAATATTTAATTAAAAAATACACATTTTAATTAATTAATTACCCCCTGACGGCGATTAGATCACCAGCTCCTGCTGCTGCTGCTGCTGCTGCTGCTGCGCCTGTGTGTCTCACCGCGCTGCTGCTGCTGCTGCTGCTGTTGCTGCTGCTGCTGCAGCAACTGCAGCACGAATAAACGTGCGGCATTTTTGCTTTTTTTCTGAATAATTTTCTGATTTTGTATTTTTTGGCTTTTTACAAATAAATAAATAAAGAAGAAAGATAAGCAATATTATTATTATTATTATTATTAACAGCAGCAGCAGCAGCAGCAGCAGCGGCTATAGCAGCAGCAATAGCAGCAGCAATAGCAGCAGCAGGAGCGACAGCATATGCAGCAGGGTTATTTTATGTTTTTTTTTCCTCTTTTTTATTAAAAAGGTTAATTTTTGTTTATTTAATTAAATAAATAAAATAAATAAACAAAAATAAATATATAAATTGAATATTTCTTGCGGTGTATCTCTGAGGTGTATATACACCACACACATTGCTGCTGCTGCTATTGCTGCTGTTGCTCGTGTTGCTGCTGGTGGTTACTTTCCTTCTGCTGCATATTTTTTGATTCTTTTTCTTTATTTTTTATTATTTATTATTTATAAGTCTATAAAAGGACTTTTTCCTTCTTTTTTCTTCTTTTTTTCTCCTTTTTCCCCCTTTATTCATCATTACCTGTACATACACCCGGTGGCGGTGACGCGCAGACGTTTCTTCTTCTTGATTAAGAAATAAATAAATAAAAGAAATAAATTTAATTTAATTTAATTTAATTCTTTTTTATTTATTTATTTATTTATTTATTTCCTTTTTATGACAGTAATTTCCCTCTTATTTATGGTGTATATACACCTCAATATTAACAGCTGTCTTCCTACAATAAATCATTAAATAATTAACCCTTTTTTTTCTCATTATTATCCCTTTTTCCTCCTTTTTCTTCTTTTTCTTCCTTTTTAACAATTAAAGGGCAGCTTTAATTAATTAAATAAATTATTTATTTATTTATTTATTTATTTATTTGTTTATTTATTTAATAAAGTTTTTTCTGTAATAAGAGGGAAAATGAGAAAGGGAAGAAGTGACGCGCCGCGGGTGTACACCCCACAGGATCTGCAGCAGCAGCAGCAGCAGCAGCAGCATCAACATCAGCAGCAACAGCAGCACCAACAGCGTCAACAGCAGCGTCAGCAGCGTTTGCTGCGTCAACAGCAGCAGCAGCAGCAACAACGGGAAGAGCAAGAACAGCAGCAGCAGCAGCAGCAGCAGCAGGTGCAGCATGCCCAGACAGCTCATGTACCTGTTGTTGTATTAGGAGCAACATTAGGGGGATTAGCTGCTGCAGTCGCGATTAGATCGCGTACAGGGAGAGCAGTCTGTGTCTTAGATATACAGCAGCAGCAGCAGCAGCAGGAGGAAGAAGAGCAGCAGCAGCAGCAGCAACAGCAGCAAGAAGAAGGTGAATTATGCCTTCTTTCTGCTAGGTGTATGGATGCCTTACGTGCAATTAATCATGATTTATATAGATCTGTTATTGCTGCTAGTAAGGAAGAGAATAATTATATTTCTTCTCGCTGCAGCAGCAGCAGCAGCAGCAAGAACAGCAGCAGCAGCAGCAGCAGCAGCAGCAGCAGCAGCGAGGTCCAAGTATGCTTATCTGCTGCTGCACTTAAGCAGCTACTAACAGAGCAACTAACAAGAAGCTCAGGGGGGGGAACTTCTTGTTTATGGTTATGTGGTCAGCTGCAGCAGGTATGGTCAGCAGCAACAGCAGCAGCAGCAACAGCAGCAACAGCAGCAGCAGCAGCAGCAGCAGCAGCAGCAGAGGAGGAGGAAGAAGAAAAGATTTACCTAAAATTAGAGGGAGGAATTATTATACAAACAAATCTTCTTGTTGTTGCTTCTGATCAAATACCCATCACACATCTACTTGATATACAGTAAGCAGCAGCAGCAGCAGCAGCAGCAGCAGCAACAGCAGCAGTTGATGCTGCTGCTGCTGCTGCTGCTGTTGTTGTTGTCTTTTCTTCAGCACTTTCTTATTAGTCGTTTTCTGTTGTTTCTTTCATCTCTATTAATTCATTATCCTTTCTCCTTGTGCTGCTGCTGCTGCTGTTGCTGCTGTTGCTGCTGTTGCTGCTGCTGCTGCTGCTGCTGCTGCTGCTGCTGCTGCTGCTGCAGGGAGGAGAATGGGTACGAGAAGTCTCCTCTTCCTTTTATTTCTGCTGAAGAAATTTCTCTGATTAATTTTAATTATAAAAAATTCAACACCATGAATTCTATGACTACTGCCTCCGTAAGAGGGAGCAGCAGCTGCAGCAGCAGCAGCAGCAGCAGCAGCAGCAGCAGCAGCAGCAGCAAGAGCAGCAAGAGCAGCAGCAGCAGCAGCAGTAGGAGGAGGAGTAGTAGTAGGAGTAGTAGAAGTAGTAGAAAGGCAGCTGGGAGGGCTGCTGTTGTAGTGCTAACAGAGGGTGTAGTGGTTAGGGTTTAGGGTTTAGGGTTTAGGGTTTAGGGTTTAGGGTTTAGGGTTTAGGGTTTAATGTGTGCAGACAGTGACGGGTAGCGATTCTCCTGGGACAGAAATTTCTTCTATTGTTGAAGGAAAGAGCGAAGCAGCATCCGAAGATTCTCTTACTACTCGCGTAAGGGTTTAGGGTTTAGGGTTTAGGGTTTAGGGTTTAGGGTTTAGGGTTTAGGGTTTATGGGGAGTTATATATTGATGTTAATTTTATTTTTACAAATTATATTCCCTGTTGATCATTTAATTCCCTACAGAAAGGTAGAAATACACAAAAAAAGTGTTTAGGGTTTAGGGTTTAGGGTTTAGGGTTTAGTGTTTAGGGTTTAGGGTTTAGGGTTTAGGGTTTATATATGTATATGTATAGAGTACAACATGTTTATCAACATTTATATCGGGTATAAAAAAGAGGGGAGAATTAAATTATAATTCGTGGGTATTCATGAAAGGAAAAGTTGTACTCACTGCTGCTGCTGTAAGTTTATACATCCTGCTGCTGCTGTTGCTGTTGCTGCTGCTGCTGCTGTTGCTGCTGTTGCTGCTGTTGCTGCTGCTGCTGTTGCTGCTGCTGTTGGTGCTGCTGCTGTGGGTGTTGCTGTTGTTGGTGTTGCTGCTGTTGGTTTGTTGCTGCTGTTGCTGTTGCTGGTTCTGTTGGTCTGCTCCTTCTGCTGCTGCATTTGCTGCTGCTGCTGCTGCTGCTGTTTGCTGCAGGCCCATCCTTGGGCTTCTGGATTATCTGATGGTCTTGAATTGGTAAAATAAATAAATAAATAAATAAATAAATAAATAAATAAATAAATAAATAAATAAATAAATAAA